GAGGAGAGGCTGGTTCCCTTGCTGTCTCGCACGCTGCAGCTCTGCTCACGCAAAGGGAACTTCAAAGGGAATATCAACATCTCCATCCCCTGGAAAGTCTCATGGATGAAAACCAGGACCCTGCCTTGAGTGGCCGTGTGTGCCTGGGTGGATGTCCCGGCATGGGGACAGGGACCCACCGCTGGGGGGGTGGGAGCACCCCGATGCTCCCACCGCTAGTCTGGGACTCTGCTCCCATCCCTTGGTGTGGTCCTGGGAAGTTTCTAGGGCATCATTAGCGCTCCCATGGGGAACGCCATTTTCCTCTGGGGTGGACGTTGGGGACCCCTTGCTGCCACATCCCCTTAGCACCAGCAGAGGACTCTGCTGCAGCAAGGTTCAGCCTACTCAGCTAAATGGTTTCCCTATTAAAAATCAGTGCAGGATGCTGGCTGCACGACGGGGACCACAGTCTTCCATGCATCTTCCACCATCTTCCAAGGTCTTCCACTGGTCATCCCACCAGCTGGGGTCTCAGCTGGAACCCCCCACCCCTTTCTTTCCAAGTTCAAGGAGCTTGGTGGTTTGAGGACATCTCAGGGCTCCCCCAGGATTTGGGAGGGGGGGGCTGGAAATGGGGTTGTGACACGATGCCTTTTCACAGCGGGTGGTGTAAACAGAGGAGCAGGATCTGGAGGGGGATCTCCTGCTCTACCACCAGCAGCATCAAATGGGGCTGCAAAACCCACCCAGCCAAGATGGGGTTTTTTTTTTGGGGGGGAGCTGTTTCAGCACATCCTTTGCTGCAAAGGCGGGAGCCTCCAGCTGAGACCTTGCAGCTCATCTCATGGGTGATGAGCCACAGCCAGGCAGCTTTCGGCTTGCTGGGAGGATTTGAAGAGTTGCTGTTCTTGTATAAATTATGAGCTTTTGGGGTACAGAGGGCTGTTTTGCATGCTTTCCCGTGTCCTTAGGAGGGCAGGCACCGGGCAGGGCTCAGGCACGAGGGCTCAACCCCTTCTCCTCTCCTGGAGCATGGGAAGGATGCTTTGTGTCCATATATGTGCTTATAGATGTGTGCATGTGTGCGCATACATGTGTACACGTGTGCATTCGCAGTGTGACGGTCCAGCTGCTCACCAAAACACGCACCAAGACGCTGGTGTTTAGCCAGTGCTTAAAATTGCAGGTATTTGGGGAGAAAGAAAAAAAGAAAAGGATATTTTAAACTTTCAGGCTTTCCTCAGCATTTATTTGCCAAGGAGTCTGCAAATATTGATGTTAAACCCATGAAAGCCTTAAAATAAACTCCTCACAAAGCTGGGTGATTGGCATGTTATTTCAAACACCCACTGGTTTGGTTCCTTCCAAAGAAAATGCTGCCTTGGCCCATCCATTTTTGGGAATTTCTGCAATAATATGACTAATCTGTGGGATCTGGGAATCTCTTCCCTTTGTTTGAACCCAACACCGGTCTCCTGGATGGCTTTGGGTCACCGTCTGCCACCTTTCCTTGCTCATCATTGGGTGATGGACACCTTCCCAAGCCACCCTGGGCTGTAGCATGGGGGAAGTGGGTGTGGATTCTCTGGTGTCTAACATAAAGGTGGAGCTGCTGGGTGAGGGCTCCTTTGGCTCTTTCTTTGCATCGCAAGCTGTTTTGTACGAAACTCGGAGCAGCTCAATAGGGCAGAGTCTTTGTCCCTCTATTGAATTGGCCAACTAGATCAGAAATGACTCAGAGGGGCAGGCAGACAGGCTTGTTCCTTAGAAAATCAAGCCCCAAGGAGGAAAACCAGAAAAAAAATTAAGCCAGGACTCACTACTCGAAAAAGAAGTGGCCATACGAAGTGGCTTACACTCACAACATGGCTTGCTGCCTGTCTCTGCCAGATTAAGGGTCCGCTTCCTAGAAAGGCATGATCGGGAAGGAGAAGCCCTGTACTTGTGTGCTGGTTTTGGCTGGGGTAGAGTTAATTTTCTTCACAGTAGCTGGGATGGGGCTGTGTTTTGGATTGGTGCTGGAAACAGTGCCGATAATTCAGGGATGTTTTAGCTATTGCTGAGCAGTGCTGACACGGAGTCAAGGCCTTCTCTGCTCCTCACCCCACCCCACCAGCGAGCAGGCTGGGGGGCACAAGGAGTTGGGAGGGGACACAGCCGGGACAGCTGACCCCAGCTGACCCAAGGGATATCCCACACCATGTGGCGTCATGCTCAGCGTATAAAGCTGGGGGAAGAAGAAGGAAGGGGGGGGACGTTCGGAGTGATGGCATTTGTCTTCCCAAGTCACCGTTCGGCGTGATGGAGCCCTGCTTTGCTGGAGATGGCTGAACACCTGCCTGCCCATGGGAAGTGGTGAATTAATTCCTTGTTTTGCTTTGCTTGCGTGCACGTCTTTTGCTTTACCTATCAAACTGTCTTTATCTCAACCCACGAGTTTTCTCACTTTTCCCCTTCCGATCCTCTCCCCCATCCCACCGGGGGGAGTGAGCGAGCGGCTGGGTGCGGCTTGGTTAAAGCACCGACTGGGGTTAAACCACAACAACTTGAATGCTGGGAAGGTCTAAGCAGAAGTGTGCATCCCTCCAGCCCACGTGGCAGATTTGTTTGCTCGGCAGGAAACCCTCAGTGCTCTTAACTTTCTCTTCCTTTCTCTTCCAGTGCTAAGACATACTTAGAGAAAAAGTGGTTTTGGGGTTTTTTTTTTGTTTCTCTGAAGTAAGTGCACGATCTCTGTGTTCCCCATCAATGGCTATTATTCTTGCTTAATTCTCATTCTTGGGTTTGAGTGACTCATGAGCTACAGAGAAGTCATTGCAGGAAAAGCTTGGGTGTGATGCTGTAAAACCCATGAGCTGAAGCTATTCACGTACGAGCCCTTCGTCCACACGGCATTCACCCCGGGATGGGACTCCAAAACCTGGGCTGAAAATCAAGAGGGGGCTTTTAGAGAGTGTATTTTGGGATAACTAGTTTAGCAACTTTGGGGCTTGCAGCTATCTCTTTGGCTTTATGCTTTTGAGTCTTCATGTTTTGGCAACTATAAGGGCTAGAAAGTTTTTTAAAAGAGAAAGCAAAGCGGAGCTTTCTCCCATGGTGCAGGGGACTGTGAAGTGCCTCTCCATCCCACACTGCAGGGCAGCGGGCATTTACCGTGTCTGCATCTTAAAGACATGGCTGGGAGATCAGGTGCAGCAAAAAGGCACAAAACTAATTTGAAGGCTGAGGAAATCAGCCTCGGGATGAGAGCGAAGGAATTAGAGCTGCTCAGATTATTGCCAGGCAGATTTCAAGGTAACTTGATCACAGTTTGTAATAAATTCATCGGCTGAGATGGGTGTGTCCTAAAAGACTCGTTATGTTGGCAGAGAAAGGCACAGCAAAAGCCGGGCTGGGGAGCAAGTGGCAGATAAATCACAATGGAAATCAAAATACGTACTTCTTCATGGGGACTGTGGTTAGGTTCGGGAAACCTTCTCCTAGTGTCTCTAGAGGAAGGTGAGAAGCCTTGGAGAACAGGAGGTTTCACTCCAACACGTGCAGTAAAACCTCTTGGTTTGGTGGCTCCGTGAATTGCCGGGTGAAGCAGAAAAAACGTGGTCTATGGCATGGGAGATTAATTACTTAGCGATTCATTCATTAATTACTTAATCTAGCAACTTCTTCTGGTCTTCAACAGGAGCGGCCTAGGAGAAGCTACCCACCAAGTCCACGGAGATACAACCAAAAAGATCAACTATTGAATTTGTCATGCTGCCAGGGGTTTTGGCCCCTGTAAAGCCCTGCAGTGCCCATACAGCGCTCTCTGCACCTGGGTTTTGCCGGAATGGGCGGTATCAGTCTTCTGCAAGAATCTAATTCAAGAGACATTAGGTGGAGGTCGAGATTCACAGAGGAGGTTTCGCTTGGGAGATGGACTCCAGGAGCAGTGGTCTCTTGTGGGGCATCTTCTACTTGGCCTGAATCTTTGCCAGACCTTTTAAGGGGTAAATCAGAGGTTTCAGGTCAGCCCGTTGCAGTTACGGGGCAGCGCTGCGAGGGTCTCCAGTGCAATGCCCATGGGCACACTATAACGAGCTGCACGACCCCACTGGGGATGGGTTAGAGGGAGGTCTGGAGACCTGCTCGGTGGCTTTTGTGGTCTAGAGGTTCGCTTTGACCAGCTATAAGGAGCCATCCTGGGGTGTACCAACCTGTCTCCACAGCAAATTTTCACCTGAGACAGTCGAATTGCTCCTCCGGGTCTTCCTGTCTCTGAGAAGCAAGGATGTGGGACGAGCACTGGTGGTACTGGGCTTTCTGGAAAAGGGGAGACAGAAGCAAGATAAAGTGAAACCCTCCCCAGTGAGCTGCTGGATTTGGGGGTGCTCCAGCAGCCCTCTCCATCTCAGCTCCATCTCACCTTGCCCAAGGATGAGAAGACCTGTCTCTTGGGGCGACCAGCTCTTCCATGGACTCCTACAGGAGTTTAGATGCTGGAGGTATCTACTGTGGAGCCCATGTGTGGACAGCTGTATCTGGAGCTTGAAACATGTCTATGACATTCAACAACCCAGTTTCTATCCCCCGTATCCCCTCTTCTTTGTACACATCGGAGGAGACAGCAGAAAAGTGCTCACAGTAGAAATAAATTTATTTACTATAAGAAATCTGAGGTGTCTGCATGTTACAAAAATAAAAATGTACAGTTGTCACAAAACCCACTTTTTTTTTAGTATAAGTTAGTGCTTTTACAAACAAAAAAAAATATCTATATATAAATTTCCAGTTGGTACCCCTCCGACCGCTCTCCATCTGAGCAGTGAGCTAGCTTGTGCGGGACCAGGATCACAGGGGGAGCCCCTTGGTGGGACTGGCAGCGTTGCCCGAGGCGATGGTTTGAAGCCGGCTGATGCCAGCTCGGAGAAGGGTGGGATCACTGATCAGGACCTCAGGAGTGAACTTGGAGCACATTTTTGTTGAATTATTCAGAGCACGTAACTTGGTGTTCACGCTGCTTTTTGGCAAGTGCGGGAGACCAGGCAAGACCTGGCCCGGAGTAATGTTTGTACCAGTTCAGTACTTCGGTTGAATTAATTTCTCCCAATTATTTGTCTCGCCCCGGTGACTATGTTGTGACCCTCCCCATAAAACCAAGCTCCCTTCACAGGCACAAGGAAAAAAAAGTGCTGCCATGGTGCAAGTCCTATCTTAACCCAACCCTATCCTAAAAGTTCACTCGAGGATGAGATGAACCACTCTACAAATGTCCTGTTTTTCTTTGCTGATGGTGCTCAGAGCTGACACAGTCCCCTCCTTTGCCTCCTGTGGTTATGACATTTTTGCTTGGGGCAAAAGCCCTCCATGGGACCATGGTTCCACCGAGCCGGGACCACAAGAACGTCCCAGTTGACCCTAAATGGTCCCAGTTGCCCTTGGCTGAACTCGGCCAGTTACGTTGCGGTGTCTCTTTATCTCCACCAACCCACTTCACAAGAAGGAGGGATGGGAGAAACTAAGAGGAGGTCTGAGGAATTGGTCTAAACCAGGATCAAATGTGTTTGCCTAATCCTAAAATAGCGCCAGGGCTGCTTTTACAAAATATGACTCGTCCAGTGCTGCAGCACAAGCAATTTTCATTTTTGGGGTGAGGAATCAGCATCCTCGTGGCAAGGCTGGGCAAGGAAACCATGGACCTGGGCTCTTGGCTCTCTAACCCAACAATTACAGAGAGAAAGACCAAGCAGACCTTCTGGTGAAGTGTTTTGTGGGTATTTTCTCCAGTTTACTTTGAACTGTCCTGGCTGATGGGGGATGCAAGGCCAAATCCAGACAGGACTGGGGTTAAGCTTAGCACCACGTTTATTGGTACGGCTCCTGAACCCAGGGTTCAGCACTGCCAAATTTCCCGGGGACGGTCCACACCGTCAGTAAGGGATATGCTGACTGGCTTCAGTGGAGCACTGGGATTACTGGGATTATGAGGAGACCAGACAGCAACATCTGGGCAGCATTTTGGGTCACAGCAAGCTGCTAAAGGTCCCAGAGGGCTGTCACCTCTGAGCAGCAATGAAGATGTGGCAGCACTCAGCCAAGGGGATGAGCAACGGTCTTTCCTTCTTTGCTGGAAACATGCGTCACTAGTAAGGTGGTTAAAAACAAGACATGAAGAGCTCACCCTAAATGTTAATGAGCTGGAGACAATTATTGAAGTCAGCAGCTGAAAGAAAGCGACGGGTTCCTAAAAGCTTTTCAAGGGTGAACGTTGCTGTTGGGAAGCACTAACGGGTCTTTCGGAAGATGTTGACCCCACTGGAGAAACCTACAGGGGACCTGCTTGATGGTACGATGTTGACCCCACTGGAGAAACCTACAGGGGACCTGCTTGATGGTACCAGTAAACTCCAGTGGGATGGTACCAGTAAACTCCAGTGGGATGGTACCAGTAAACTCCAGTGGGATGGTACCAGTAAACTCCAGTGGGATGGTACCAGTAAACTCCAGTGGGATGGTACCAGTAAACTCCAGTGGGATGGTACCAGTAAACTCCAGTGGGATGGTACCAGTAAACTCCAGTGGGATGGTACCAGTATACTCCAGTGGGATGGAAGGTCCACCAGCACCCTTTTTAATGGGAAACCAGCCCTTGGACATGAGCTAGGAGTCCCCTCCCGGCTCTGCCAGCAGATGCCAGGAGAGCATGGGACAGCATTTCTTCAGGGATGTAAAGCTGTGGGAGACCCTTTCCCGCTGCGGGTGGTATTTGCGCCTGACATTTTCATTGACCTGTTTAGCAGAACCGCAGCTGCCTCTCCTCTGACCAAAAGCCTTTCCTCCCTTGCCAAGGCGTAGAAACTCTTCCTACCTCTGTGCCAGGGAATCTGGAGAAAGGCAGATGGATTTCTTTAGGGGGACCTTTTGCACACAACGTTTCTGCTTTAGAAAATGATCTAAGACATTCAGGGCGTGATTTTTTTTTTTTTTAGCAGATTTGGCCACCGTGATAGAGGTCACCCAGCCTCACTGGTGGAGAGATGCCATTCAGCATTGAACAGAGAGGCAGGCTTGGACGAAGAGGCAGAGATACGGGGTTTGTGTGTATAACCACAGCAGCATCTTCCTGAAAAAATACGTTTGAAACAGCGACAAGCAAAGGAGCGCATTTAACACGGACCATGCTGATGTGGGTGCAAGCCAAGGCACTGCAAACACCAAAAGCCTCGGGCCCTGAAGCATCCTGACCTCCCTTCACACCTGGGATAAACCCATCTGTCATGGAGATGATGCTGGCCGTGCGGGAGCGGAGCTAGGATTTCACATCCTTGGATAACGTGTCTGTGTCGTTGCTAGTTCCCAGGTGACTGCTGGGCACAATGCCCAGCGCCATTTCATTTTGAGGCTTCCCTGGCATTTTGTTGCCCGCAAACTTCATAAATCGTTGTCCTGCTAAGAAATACAGAATGGGATCCAAGCAGCTGTTTGTGCTAGCTAGGGGACGAGTCACCTTATAGACTAAATTGATAGCATTGAGGGTCCGACAGCTCAAGTCCCAGCTCCGGAAGGAGTAGTACAAGGTACGAGTGACATGGAAAGGAAGAAAACAAACAATGAAGACCACCAAGACGATAATTATCATCTTGACTGACTTCTTTTTGGATCGGGACAGCCGGGAGATCCCCCGTGTGGGCTGCAGCAACCTCCGGGCCATTAGGCAGTAGCAGACGATGATGATGAGGAAAGGGATGCAGAAGAGCAGCACCAGCATCACTGAACTGTAAATGACAAACTGGCCAAAGAGGTCCTTGCTGGACGTGTCGTGGCAGGTGATGGTATCACGCTTCACGCTGGTGGTGACGAAGAAGAGCACGGGTGACTGGCAGACGACAGTCACCACCCACACGATGACCGACACCCTCTGGGCATAGCGAACGTGTCCCCACTGCAACGACTTCAGCGGGAAGCAGATGCCCAGGAATCGATGGATGCTGATGCAGAGGAGGAAGAGGATGCTGCAGTAGAGGTTGGTGTAAAACAAGAAGCGGACTATCTTACACAAGCCCACGCTGAAGGGCCAGTTGTCCCCCATGGCATAATAATACACCAGGAGGGGCAGGGAGACCACGTAGAGCGTGTCAGACACGGCCAGGTTGAACATGTACGTGGTGGAGGCGTTCCAGGTCTTGATCCTGAAGATGAAGACGTAGAGGGCCAGCAGGTTGAGAAAGAGCCCCACCACGCACACGATGCCGTAGGAGACAGGCAGCAGGATATACTTGAAGTCCTCATCAAATATGCACTTGTAGTCGTTGTCCCCTGCGCCACCTGGGTCCAAGGAGCTGTTGATGACTCTGGTCCAGGCTGGAGGAGTTGTTAGGTTCGCCATCACCCTGGGGGGAAAGCAAAGAGGCTGTAAGGACACGGAGGTAAGGAGGCCCTGGAAGAGGTGGGTGAGATGAGAAAACTCCAGTGCCACAATGCTGTTACACATCGCGTGGTCCATGCTGTCATTATTGCTATATACTATTACTATACCCTTCCTTTCTCCTCCCGTCAAGGTTGCTATCAGTGCTTGGTTGTGTCTATCCAAAAGCTACCCACAAGCATGGCTCGCTGTCTGGCAGGCAGCGCCGTCTCAGTGCAGGTGACAATGACTCGAGAGGTGGCAGTGCGTGCCTCCTGCCAGCACATCACATACCCACGAAGACCGTGGCCTCATTGCGTTGGGTGTTGACACAACCAAGGTAGTCCCTAGCATGGAGGATTTGCGGTCAAGCAGATAAAGGGCATTTTATTTATCCTCATTTTGCATCGGGAGCACAGAGGAGGAACTAAGCTGCTCTAAAGTCATCAACAAATCCCAGGCCACACCTGGGAGTCCAACTCAGATCTCCTGCAGCCCAATTCAATGTTCCAATCCACTCTTCCCACCAGGTTCACGCAGAAATTTGGTCTTCTGCGCTACAGAACAGGAAAGATGCTCCATTCTGTGCTTAACCGTCCATGAGAAGTGACACAGCTGAGCACCGTGAAAGGCGGGTCCTACGAAACCCAAGGCAGAAAGGGCAAGAAAAGGGAACCGTGCTCTTCAGCGAGCAATCCCCATGACTGGCAGGGCCCTGATTTCAGAGGTCCTCAGCTCCTTCTGGTAGAGCAAACATCACCACAACCTCTGAAGGCCCCTGTAATCTAATATTGCCAAAGGGAGCGTGTTCTCCACCACAGGGGCTCTGCCTGGGTTGGTTGTTGATGATGATCATGATGGGTTTTTAATGGGTTTAGTGTTGGGCTGATGGTGGCCATCTCGCTGGTCCTGCTTCCTGGCCTTGAGACCTGCTCCTCCAGCATTACCACCACCAGAAAGTCTGCCCATGCTTGTGCAAAGCTGGTTTATGCATGGGAATGACGAGTGGAGATGAGAAAAATGGACTCGAAAGAGTCTCTGCAGACACACAGAGTCTGGCACTGTCTGTGTCAGGAGGGACAAGGGCCCTTTTGTGCGCTGGGGACAGCCCACGACCCAGCCGACACATGATCGCTCAGCAAGCCCATCAGCCAGGAATCAAATTAAAATGTATTTGCCTCCCTTCCCGTAAAACAAGCCGGTTTGATCTCACTGCTGTACCCTGTTACAGGGAGCCCGCGGAAATGGGGTTATAGGGAGATGAATCCAGCGCAGGAGCTCAGAGACCGGGAGCTACTGCAGGAGAAAAGGTTTGAGTAAAGGTGCCCTTTTAATGAGTATGGGGGATGTGCCCTGACCCAAATCTCACCATGATTTTAGGTGGAAAAGCGCAATACCAGCCTTCTCAGCTGAATGGTTCAGCTCTAACCTGGTGCCACCATGCTGCGGGACGGCGTGGGCATGCCCTTTCTTGTAAACAAGCACCGTTTTGACCCAGAGCTATCCTGCACCTACCTTCAATTCAGATCCTGCAGGGAAGGAGGCAATGAGGGTCTCCCACAAGCTGCCAACCCGGATGATCTCTCACCGAAGCAAAGCACTATGGCATTTAAAAGCACCTTGACAACTCATAGCTGATGGAGAAGGGGTGACGTGATGCCTCCAGCCCATCACGTGGGGATAACTCCAGTCCTTGCTCCAGGGACTGGATCAAACAACCTGTCCAGATGCGGCATGGACACGAACCCTGATGATGTTTCCCCCATTTTGCTGCTTTTCCCCTCGGAGCAGACCACAAGCAGCGCTGGCTGAGGCTCACGCTTCCCACACGCACGCTCACACCCTGACTAATCTGCAAAATCCCAAATATAACTTTGGGAACCACTCTGCGACGAACATGAGGAGCCAGGACCGGTCTTGCTCTGCCCTGGCCCCAGGGTTTTGCTTAACCTGCGCCCCGTTCAGCTTTGGTCCCATCACCCTTCATCCTGCTTCTCTCAAGACCTCGGCAACAGGGTTGTCCCTGTGGATGGAAAGGGCTGACAGTGCTCGGGCAGATGGGAAAACACTTTCCAGCTGCTCTTCTCCCTAACTTCTTCCTTCCCTCTGAGCTTTGCAGATCTGCAGCCAACGAGACAGAGGTTGCCTGCAGACCTGGCAGCCGATTAAATGGGTTGGACAGGCCACCGTGACGGAGAGAAGCCACACAAGATGCCCTAAAAGGCGCAGGAAAGGGTTACAGAGCTCCAGAGACTTCAGCCTTGCATGTGGTTTCTCCATGCCTTTAAATCTGCATCCCCTCCGTCCCCTGCAGACAACCCATCACCCAGCTCTGAAGCACTGATGGGGGCAAAATCACCCCATCCAGTCCACCACCCCACAGGCTCCTGCGACCCCCAGCTAGAAAACCCAACAAGGCGTTTGAAACCCATCTGTAAGCCAAGGTGGGGAATCTCCTCCAGCGCGCAGGGCAGCACGGGCTGCCCCAGGCCATGCTGCGGCCACAGACGTGCCAGGACGCCCATCTCCATCTTCAGGACAAGGAGCAAACACGGCTCCCTGCTTGATTTGAAAGGGGTAATCACGGAGACAAAACCCCGCTCACAAAGCAGCCTTGTCCTTGCTGTCGTGCTCTCCCCCCTTTTCCTTCTGAAAATGCAAAAGCCTTTCTTTTTTCTTTTTTTTCCTTACTTTTGCCCAGAATCCCTAGGACAAAACCTGCTGTGTCTGTCGGGGCCGTGGCTGCAGTCCACCCCCTTGCCCCCAGCCCCGCTGCATCCGCAGCAAGCAAGCGAGCCCGAGAGGACACGGCCAGCCAAGGCGTGTGAAGGCACAAAAGCTGGCAGCTGCCCTTTCCTCTGCCTACGGGCCGGACGGCACGAACGCCAGCTCCTGCAGCGATGCATCGAGCCCCCGACAGGGACAAGGGGAGGGAGAAAGCAACAGCGACCCCTGAGGATGCCAAGCAGGATAAATACTTCTATGACCACCAAAAGCAAACCCACCACGATGCTTCGGTGAGGACCACCTGTATCTGCTTCGTCGGCTTTCCCGGCCCTTCCCGGGGTCATGGCAGGAGGTTTTTTTCTCTGGCCCTGAATGCAGGTGACCATGCACAGCTTTTTAGGAGCCCTCCAGCCACCCGTGCACAGCGAGAGCATCGGCCCGACCGGCTTCTTCCATGCCGGACCACGTGCTGGGTCTTGGATGAACCTGGTTGCAACGGCTGGACCACCTCTCTCTTTGCAGCGTGGCCTTCGACCTGTTTATCCCACGGGACATGGGTTTGTTTTTTTTTTTTTCCCCAGAAAACAGGTACCATCAGCTGTAGTGAATGAAGTCAGCATGGGAGAGGAGCCCTGTGCTGAGAGGAGCCCACGCAGATCGGTGTTGCAATCCCAGCGGCCACGTGCCCTCAAATATATATACCCACAGGCATGTGCATGTGACGCCAGCATCCCAAAACGCTCCCGTAACAGTATCTACCACGGCCGGGCAGGGGATATTTAGATGAGTCAATTCGGAGAAGGAGGGGGCTGTCATCGGAGAAGGTCATGGGCAGTCGAGGAATGGGCAGCACGCAGGGCCAGCACAAGGGGACCACGGGTTGGACACTGAATCACCGAGTAAAGGGCTTTAACCCTGGTTTCTGCCCCATTTTTCAGCATTCCCAGTGCCATCCCAGCGGTCACCATCCATCCCGCGGTGTTTTGTGCTTGGGAACCTGCCAGCAGAAGCAAAGTCACGAAAGCAAACAAAGTGGAGCCAAATCACGGCTGCGATGAATGCGTTTTCACGGGGGGTGGATGAGGTTTAATTGACCTTCCCAAATAATTCATGTGGATTAATTTATCGGCAGGACCTCACAGGTGCAGCCTTCCGTTCTGCCGGTGCGAAGCCCTGGGAAATCAAACCCGCACGGTGCGGACGCACCGACTGCGACCGCAGCTCCCATCGTTTTACGCCGGAGATCAAAACCACGATCCATTTACCGCATCTTCCCCACCGGCTCCTTTGCAACAGACACAAGGAGAGCGTGGGTGTTTTCCCTGCCCTAATTTATAGGCATTTAGTAGACTCATCAAAATCCTCGCTCCGGATCAGGAACTACTCGAGACGCTGGGAAGCGAACGGCCTGGCATCGTTTTTCTCTCCCTTGGGACTGTGGTTGAAACCCTCTGTAACCAAAAGCAAACAGACGGCGTGTTCGGATGCCACCGAGCCTGTCTGGTTGGGAGACGTGAGATGGGACCAGGCTGAAATTTGAGCCTGGCCAAACTGCCTGGTTTTCATCTGCCCTTTCCATTTGGCTCCTTTCTGCCGTGGTGACCTTCAGCGCCTTTCTCCTCCGGGCTGGCTCCGGCCACGAGTGTGGGCTGAGGACATCCCCCGCCGTCCCGGTCCCACCATCCGCATCGCTCCCTGGCGCTTCTCTCCAGCGATCCCAAGGCAAGATACCTCCACGATACGTTTCCAAGATACCCAAAAGCAAGGTTTAAGCAGCTTAAGGGGCTTCACCCATCTCCTTGCCCGGAGCCCCAGGCAATGCCCGGTCTTTTATCCCCCATGGGTCTGACCTACCCCTTCCCCCATTCCAAAAATAGCCAGGAAATCTCATTCCTCCCCAAATGAGCTTGCAAACAATTTGTGTTTCTCTTATTTTCCCCTAAAAAGCACCTCGGAGGGCACTGGGCAGCTCCACTCTGGCTGGCAGAAATGGAGCTGCTCCACCGAAGCGTCCCCATGCCTCAGTTTCCCCTCCTGCCCCCAGGCTGAGAAGCAGCAGAGTTGAATTTTCTCCATGAAAAGTATTTTTTTGGGGGGGTTTTGGTTTCCTAGAGAGTTTTTTAGTCACTTGACCCAAGCTAAAAAGGGGAGAGGGAGTTTGGATAAAAGATATAATGACTTAAAAAGAACTTTATGACTTTGTAGGTCAAATAAAATGTTTCGCTTTGAGCCAAATGACTTTTTCTGGGAATTTCTGGTTTCCCCCGAGAAACTCCCTGAGTTCCTCCCTGAATCAATCTGCCGTCGAGCCTCCGCTTCCCAGGCGATACCAAAACCTCCCATTTTTGTCCACACCACGGGAAGTCAATTCGGATTAACCAAAGCTGTGGCTTTAGGGCGAATTAGATAAAAGCATTAAACCCATCGGTGCCGGTGCTTGTGCATAGTTAAAGCCGCCTTCGGTCGGTTGAACCTGACTCGGTTCCCAGCACAACAGGTCTCCGGGGACGGATCCTGCTGGAAGCAAATATCACCCTGGCCAATATTTAATCCCTTCATCAACATTTCCCTTCCTGCTACAGCAAAGGTGATGCTCCCTGCGTGTTTTTCCCCCGCATCCCTCCATCACCTGCCCTCCGGGAGACCCCGCAGCATCCCACGGGGTTGGGGGTAGATCCTATTTGAGCCCCCAAACCTTGATTTTTATTTATCGCAGGGGGAAAATGGGGCGCTCGCATCCTTTAGGCTTCCTGGAGACAGAAAGGAGCCCTGTGCTGGTTTTTATACCAGGAATTTGACTTTGGTTTTGCCCTCCACGATTTTCTGGTGCTCGGCGGAGGAAGCAACGGTCAGACCGGGAGAAGAGCATGGGACCAGTTTCTGGTCGATCACCTGCTTTTGGTAACTGTTTTACCCCACAAGTGGGGTAAATGGGAGAAATGACATTTCCACGGAGACCTAACAGCCTCCTGCCCAAACTAAGGGAGCCACCCATCAACACCACAACCCCACCCCGGCAAAACCAAATGCACTCTGCCCATATGGGAGATAACCAGCATCCGAGACCAGGGATAACGCAATTATCGGGCTCAACCACGGCACCGGCAGTTACTGCGAAGCCAAAGCAGCACCAAACCCCAGAAAACCACACACGGGGTGGACTTCGGGGGATGATTTGCTCCTCTATAAGGAGCATCCCATGGGAGAAAAAGTCCTTGCTTCATGGACCGGTGTCCATTAAGGCTTTAACGGGGGATGTTCAGCATTAAGGAAGGACGGCGGCGTGGCCGGCAGCACGCTCCGCTGCCAGCAAACTATTCATGGCTTTGGCTTTATGTCAATAACCGGAGATAAAAATCGCATCGGGCAGAGACGAGGTAAAGCCACTCGGTGCCAGGACAGTCAAAAATACTTCTCGGGGTTTTATAACTCGCTAAGCCCCGGGATGCAGACATGCTCCAGGGCTCAGCAGCGTATTTAGGGGTCTCCCCCTTTGCACTGGAGCTCCTTAGCCCATCAGCCACCGAGGCCGAAGGCCGAAGTTCCCTTTGCTCGGGTATAAACGAGGATGAGGAACTCGGGGCACATGCTCAGCAGTAACGAAATGGCCCAATTTCGGCAGCCGCCAGCCTTGTAAGCCCCGGGATGCAGACATGCTCCAGGGCTCAGCAGCGTATTTAGGGGTCTCCCCCTTTGCACTGGAGCTCCTTAGCCCATCAGCCACCGAGGCCGAAGGCCGAAGTTCCCTTTGCTCGGGTATAAACGAGGATGAGGAACTCGGGGCACATGCTCAGCAGTAACGAAATGGCCCAATTTCGGCGGCCGCCAGCCTTGCGCCGCAGGGACTATCTCCCAGCGCCGGTGGCTCGCCGGGAGCAGGGTTTGCTGCTCCCCGCCTCGTGCACAGCAAGGCAGCGGGTTGCCAAGTGGGTTTTGCAATAAACCGATAAGAAAACTGGAACAGAAAGAGAAATAAGATGTTTCGTCCTTAGAGTTGCTCCTGCAGTGATGCCACCCAGTGCCCAGCTCTGGGGAAGAAGGCGTTTTTGGGGTTAGGAGCTATTAAAAGGAGTCAAAGGGTTTGAAACCGGAGTCTCACCGATCCCGGGGCAAATTAAAACACCCCCAAATGAATTACACAGGGACCCCAGCATGCAAAGAGGTGGAAAAACACAAGCAGGGAGTCAGCTCCATGGCTTTTACCAGAGGTGTGTACAGGAAGCCCCTGATAAAACAGCCAGCAAATTCCCCCGGGAAGGGAGAAACCGGGCGGCAAAAGAGATTATCGGCAATTAATGCATAAACAATCAAATAATTCGGGCAAAGAGGAGCAAAGGGAGCCCACGGGGCTTCCTCGAGTGCCTGGCTCGAACCGTTCACGCCAG